AGCATCGGTGCGGCTCCATTTGATAATTTACAATCTAGAATCCAGTTTCTTTCATTTCTAGTTGGTTGTTTAAGATGAGGAGATCCTTTTATTTGTCCCGCAGTGGCGACATTTCAGTGTTGTGTCACCAGTTACAGAACAGTACGAATGAGGAGATAAGTGAACAATAGCTCTATACTAAAACAAAATAAAAATCTATAATATTAGCATAATAAAGAAGCTAGTATAAAATCTCTAGCTTTAGCATAATAAAGTAGCAAGTTTAAAATTTATAACTTTAGCCTAATAAACAAGCTAATATGAAATATCTAGCTTTAGCCTAATAAAGAAGCTAATATAAAATCTCTAGCTTTAGCCTAATAAAGAAGCTAATATAAAATCTCTAGCTTTAGCCTAATAAAGAAGCTAATATAAAATCTCTAGCTTTAGCCTAATAAAGAAGCTAATATAAAATCTCTAGCTTTAGCCTAATAAAGAAGCTAATATAAAATCTCTAGCTTTAGCCTAATAAAGAAGCTAATATAAAATCTCTAGCTTTAGCCTAATAAAGAAGCTAATATAAAATCTCTAGCTTTAGCCTAATAAAGAAGCTAATATAAAATCTCTAGCTTTAGCCTAATAAAGAAGCTAATATAAAATCTCTAGCTTTAGCCTAATAAAGAAGCTAATATAAAATATCTAGCTTTAGCCTAATAAAGAAGCTAATATAAAATCTCTAGCTTTAGCATAATAAAGAAGCTAGCAGGGTATGGGACACAGCGACAGACACAGATGGTTCTATATTGCACAGATGAGTAAAGTTGCTGTTATTATTTATTCTAATATGAAAACGTTGCTAGCATGACTGCGTCTTAGCCTGCTCTGTTTGTAATCTGCACATGTCGTATGAGAGATTATTTTGACAATCATGCTCCTTTTATCAGATCATATTTTTTGCGTTTTAGATTTAAGTCCATGTAGTCCTGTGTGAATATGGATTTAGAGATTAGTTTTGGTGGGTTCAGGCGCGTCATGATATGAAAGGGAATTGATTAGGGTTGCCAACTCGAGAACAAAAAAATAAGGGACAACCTTTGGGTGGATCGGGTTGAGCACTTTTTAGTCCTAATTTCAATCTACACAGGAATCATGGAATTTCATAATCACAGTTTTTAGAATGTAATTTATTGGCTACATATAAATTTATTGGCTACATATAAAAATCAAAAAAATTCTTAGGCAAAAAATAAATGTCCTAAATAGGTGGAACTCTTTGGCTGGTTAAGGACTTCATGCATTCTTATTAGTAATAAAACATATAAAAAGACAAACGCTGTAACATACATTATTTATGTATGTTACAGTAAAGACCATTTACTGTAAAAGAAAAAAAGAAAAACATGTATTCATTAACAAAACTCACAAATGTTGAAATCAAAGTCTGTAGCAGTTAGATATGGTCATTATTTATAGTGTCTGAGAGTTTAGTGCGTGTACATGGCTTCAGTAAAAGCTATTTTTTGTTTACAAAGCTGGTATTGACATTGGTTGACGGTCCCTAAGCGCTTTTCTCGGCGCTTGCAGTGCACTGGATTCAATGGATTTCTCTGCATTAAAAACAGCGCATTGGATTTGAAAAATCAACATAGAGGTGATCATTTTAGCAAATTACTTTTGTTTAAGAAAGTAACTTCCGTGAGCTATTGACCGCGGAAGTCCGAATCTGGGAATATGACGCTACTTTACCAGACTTCTGCCAGGATGATGCTGCGGGCACAGCCCCCATAGATCCATGCACGGCCCACGCTGTCACTTGTCAACAGTAAGGGTAAACCCATGGATGTGATCAAGCCTACGCCCCTTTTGACACTGTTTGGCCGAAAGGTAGACGCTTAAACTGTGATTACTGTGTGTGCGTGTGTCGCTTGTGTGACATGCAGTGAGTGAGTGATGCATTTAAGGCGACTCTGAAAATACGGGACAAAAGCCGTCCCGTATCAGTTCAATACGGGACGCACATAGTTTTTCTATAATACGGGACAATTCCGTATTTCAAGGGACGGTTGGCAACCCTAGAATTGATCAAATTATGGTATTTCATTTAATTTGGGCTTTAAACTAGTTATTGACTTATCTTTATTTAACCAGGAATGTCTACGTTTTGCTTTTTTTCAACATGGATTTTTTAGTTTTTTCTATTTATGGACACAAAAAGGGCTGTATATTTGAAAAAAGATTAAATCAGAGGGACTGGATATAGATTTTATTTATTTACTTTTATATATTCCCCGCAGGAGAAATTCAGTTGTCCACACATCCATCCATACAATATGGAGTCACTAACAGTAAGAGCTGAAACGATTTATCCAAGAACTTTAATAATTTGATCATTAAAAATAGTCGATTATTTTCCGCTGCCTCAATGCTTCGGATACGGTCGTTTATTCTGATTCTTTGTGTGTTACGTGTTTACGTCACTGCTGCTGTGTCTTCATTTGATGATATGAATGTAATAAACTGTAAACAATTCAAACATTATATACAGCTGGCATTATTAAATGGTTATTATTTGATATTGTATATTTTTAATTAGGCAAAAATGTGTTTTTTTTCCTCGATTACTCGATTAATCGATCTGTGTATTCAATAGAATAATTGAATTCCAAAATATTCGATAGCTGCAGCTCTACTAACAATAGTAATAAAGAGCAGCAAAGCTTCACTTCAAAACTCGGCCACCATAGATAGCACTTTCGCTACTCAACAAGATGGTCCTGGGTTCGAATCCCAGTCAGAACAGTGCCTTTCTGAGTGGAGTTTACATGTTCTCTCTGTATCTGCGTAGGTTTCCTCCATGTGCTACGGTTTCCCCACCCACTAAAAACATGTGCAATAGGTCTGAATGTAACGAGTGAATGTGTTCCGAAAAATATCTGAACTCTGAACGTTGTAAAACGTTTTGGGTCTGTAAAAATGTGCTATATAAAAAAAACATACTTAGTAAAATACTAAATCCTTACTTACAGCATCAGAGGTGGTGAGCTGATGATGATGAGCTGCGTCCTATTCTTCCTGGTTTGGACCATTTTCTCTGCTCTGGTTCAGAGTGAGGGGGCGACAGTAGCTCAGTTGGTAGAGCATTGGCCTTAAGGCCAGAAGGTCGTGGGTTCAATTCCCACCTCTGCACCTTCTCCACCGACTCCCACTGATGACTGCTGTCGTTGTGTCCTTGGGCAAGACACTTAACCCCACTTTGCCCAAAGCCCCCACTGAAAGATCAAGGCTATGCTCACACTCAGAGAGCAGCCGTCCTCCTGTGGACTCACCACCTGCAGAGGGTCAGTGAGGGGCTGGTGCTATGAGACTTGGGTGGCATCTCTGACTGCCACCCCCCTGACCCAGAAATGGATTAAAGGGTAGAAAATGGATGGATGGTTCAGAGTGAATTTCCGAATGCTCTATTTGCATTTTTCAACCAAAAATTAGTGTAGTTTTTACACTTGATCAGGGATTAAAGAGTTCCGTCTAGGTGACGGATTTCCGTCAAATGAAATTGGTCTGGAAAAAAGAATATATATATATATGATGATAATAATACACACAATGAAATGATTGATTATAAAAATAATATATAGTAATACATATACGTGTGAATCTGTTATATATATATATCGATGTATAATAATAATTTGAATATAATTGTATTTATATGTATATAGAAATAATAAGTAATATAATGACGAGTGGGCCTTGAACGTGCCGTGGCCACATGAGCGCTCCGCAAATGAATCAAGGCAATGGGACGTAGCTGAGCTCACGCGCAAATGAAGACGCAATGAAGTTAGCATTGGTAACACGGAGGAGAAAGTTTCTGGAAACTGCACGGAGCTTTTGAAAAGGAGAAGAGGAGGAAAATTGAATCTCGAACGGAGCAATAACAGCAGCAGATCCGCGGACTGGTAAGCTGGGCGCGTAATAGACTAAAGGTAATTAACGTTTACCAAACGCAATGCTATTTACTTAACGGAATGTACAAAACGGACTTTTCTGCGACTGGGAATGGGGACAAACATGTCTTGGTGAGCTTTTGATATTGTCTTGTTTGCGATCTTCTTGCAAAACTCAGCGTGATGTAAAAGAGCCAATCAACGAGTCATGGTGCGAAAAGATGAAAGTGGCCGGTGCTTGTGCGTACTTTGCCATAAAAAATTGCATGTATGGGAGTAATGAGAAAAAAAGTTTTGATTCGCCACCAGCTCAAAACTGCGCACAAGGCAGCTGTTTGTGCACTTTCCCACACTTCATCTTTACCTGGTGCATCAGCAACAACTAACACTAGGCTTGCTCTGGCGGACCGTGTCTGTGGCTTTATCGCAGAAAATAACGTTCAGAATATCACTACCGCTGGTAGATTTATTTAAATCATTTGCAGTTGATCGAAGTGCACTGTGCACTCAAACTTGATAGGGAAACCTTTTTCTTAAATATTGACGTGTCCACAAACAAATGTGGACAGAATTTTATCGTACTTTTGCGATATTTTGACGAGGACAGGGCCAAAGTGTTGACGCTCCATATCGCCTCAAGTAAAGCTACTCTCACTAATATTCTGTCAAAAAGTTGACTCGTTGCTTGATCCACTTATATTTCATATCAAAATACACTGTATATCTTTGAAGAATTCATTTGAGCTGTATTCAATATACAATCTATTATACAATAATATATTGTAATTAAAAATATAACTTGGTCCTGCATATTACTGTGATTTACATGTGATAAATTTCCATGCAAAAATTTTCAGTCAAATCTTTTTTTTTTGCTTTAACCCCTGCACTTGATCTACTTGTTTATTAAGGATTTGTTTTGTACTGTCAAGAGTGCCTCGGATTATTATTATTATTATTACTATTTTTATTTTTTCCTCTTTTCTCAAATGTTACCTGTGTTTTTTTTCACTATCGGACAAAAATTGACTGAACTGAAACCCTCAACTTCTTCCTGTGTATTTGTTTGTGCAGGTCGTCGTTCTTTGAGTCCCTGAAGCAGATCGGTTCGGTCCAGCCACAGGCCAACGCCGGGATTGGAACCTACGAGAGCATTCAGCATTTTAACGACATCAAAGAACATTTACACTTAGTCAAAAGAGACGTGGAGCATCTGATCCAGAAGAGTGTCCAGGTGATTTTCTTTCATCTGTCTGTCTTTTTATTGCAAAAAGTCATGAAAAATATGTCAAAAACTGCTAACATTTGGCTAAATGTATCTTAATTTGAGCCCATTCTGACTGAGCCTTAAAACAGGATTTGCCGATGGGACAAAGCAACATGATTATTGTTTTAGAAAGACACAAGATATGTCTCCGTTATACAGTATATTTATTTAATTTATTTAATTTTTTATTTATTTGATTTTTATTTTGTATAGATTTTTTGTGGAATTTTGTAATTTTTATTTATTTATGTTATTATAATTTTTTTGACATTGCAAGTCAACATGGAACAAAACAAGCTCGTAACGGATGCGATGCAGAAAGAGTTTATAGATATTGCTAATTCTCAACAGCAGTCCCTGGGCCTTTCTACACTATTCACATTTTCAATATTATCTTAGAAACTCTCCTATCTACACTGTTTAAATCGTTTACACAAACTCAGTGCGATTTACAAATGGGTACAATTCTGTTTCAATTTCAGCAAGAACTTAAAATGAAGTTTTAGAAATTAGAAAATAAGACTAAATGGCTTTGTCCCTTTGGTAAATCTTGTCAGAATGAGTCAAATTCAGAAAAAAAGGACTCAATTCAAGCATTTATTATTTCATACGTTATCATTTTTGCAGTGTTTTATGATTTTCTTATGTTTTTTGTCAGAATCCTGCAGAAAAGGTGATGAAATGCCCAGACCCGCCCCCAGCGCCCGCCTGTCTCTCCACGATGCATTTTATCATTTTCATAGTCGTCCAGTCCATCCTGTTTTTCTGCTACATCATGTACAAGTGAGTTTTTAACCCTTTCTGATTCTCTTTGGACATAACCTGTGTTTTAAATCACATGAATGTGTTTTGGCTCCGTTTGTAATCTGTAAAGTCCAGGCGTCTCGGACATATTCACGAGTAAGCTACTTTTTCAGGACTAAAGTGGCAGAAAGCTACTTTTTCAGGACTAAGATGGCAGAGAGCTACTTTTTCAGGACTAAAATGGCAGAGAGCTACTTTTTCAGGACTAAAATGGCAGAGAGCTACTTTTTCAGGACTAAAGTGGCAGAGAGCTACTTTTTCAGGACTAAAATGGCAGAGAGCTACTTTTTCAGGACTAAAATGGCAGAGAGCTACTTTTTCAGGACTAAAGTGGCAGAAAGCTACTTTTTCAGGACTAAAGTGGCAGAGAGCTACTTTTTCAGGACTAAAGTGGCAGAGAGCTACTTTTTCAGGACTAAAGTGGCAGAGAGCTACTTCTGTTAGACTAGAGCTGTCGTCTCATTTTGGAGCTGAAGCTAAGGCCAAAAGAGAATGAGGCATTTCCTTTTCTAACAATAATTTGTTGTTGTTTGTTGCACAATTCATCCACAAACTCAAAGTGCTGAACAGAATAAGATAAATAAAAAAATAATGAAAAAGAGTGCAGATAAAATCCCTGTCGTATTTATTTTTTACATCATGAAAGTATTTTGACTTGACTTTTATTTGTGATTAAATGTATTTATTATTTTGAACAAACAAAAACTGGACCAAAATGGAGAAATATCAGTGTCATCGTCGTGAAGTGTTGGGTTCAAACTTTAGAATCAATGTAACATGTTTTTTCCTTGAGAATAGATGATGTATAACGTGCCATGGAAGCCCCTTACCCTCAGTGCTGCAGGTTCATATTGATCATTAAAATTCTATTTGGGGCGATTTAAAAACAGCAGAGTTTGAACCTTAAAGAATCAAAATGAAATCCTTCAGTTGTACCGCGTGACTGAGTTTGACGCGTCTGGTTTGAAGTCGACGTAATGTTGTGCTACAGTCGATAAGTGGATTTTATCTGGATTTAAAATATTTAAAACATGTTCTAAAATGAATGGAACAATCAGCTTTAGTCTCATTTCAAACACAGATCGTGCAAAAGTATTTCTTGGTTCATTCCAAATCTTTTCTTTTTCACTCAAAATAAATGATCCTTTGGGAGCTGCACTGTAAACCCTAACTTTAATCTTTCTTCACATATCAAAGTTATTTTTAATTGAGAAACAAACAATTTTGACTTTGCAGGTAAAGGCAAATTATAAAGAATTATCAAAAAAAATCCAAGGCTCTCGTGGTCAATAGTTTGGAGAGTTTAAAAATACTTTCTTTTCTCATGGCTGTAATTTCATTTCATTTCATTTCATTTTAGCTTGGCCTTCTTCAGGATTATTTTTAATAGATTTTTCCCTGTAAGTAAATATTGCTGGTTTATTGTTAGTTTATTTAAAGCTTGGCTGTATCACTCAGGTAGGGGTTGTTGCTATGTGACTTGGGTGGCATCACTGACTGCCACCCCCCGACCCAGAAATGGATTAAGGGGTAGAGGATGGATGGATGGATGGATGGATGGATGGATGGATGGATGGATGTACCACTCAGGGCTTTCTTTGATTTGAGCCGTCTCTGTTCATGTAAGCCACACTCTGGACACTGTTGAAGATAGCAGGTGTATTCTTCGCAGGGCGGCACAGTGACCGAGTGGGGAGCACCTTCTCTTCCCGGCCTAAAGGTTCTAAGTTCGAATCCCAGTCGGAGCAGGACCTTTCTGATAGATGTGATACGTTGAAATCACAGCTAAACTTTATTGCAATCACTTGAGTTCACTGCAACATCAAGTTAAGGATGTACTCCAGGAATTCAAGTGAAGTCATTGTACAATTTATTTCCCAGGTTTTTTCAGGTATACTTTACTTGTCAGGGTTTACAGTGTACCTGAAAGAGGGCGGCAAGCTACAGGTAGCTCCCATCCCTCTTTCATGTAGCTTCTCAAAGGAGTTAAACACATGATCCTGAATGATTCACTTTTCAGTTGTTATTTAACTCTAAAGCCTAGCGTACATCGACAGAGAAACTGGAGACAACTAGTTGCAAGGCGGCTTTTGGCGACTGAGAGGAGATGATGGGAGATGATCAGTTGGCGAAATCGGTCGATGTGAGCGCTCTTACAACTGGAGATAAACAGTCGGTCTCCAGTTTCAGTCAGTTGCCCGTGTTCTACTTTTCGGCAACTAGTTGTCCTCAGTTTCGGAGATATGACCCGATGTGCGCGCTCCATGCACCGCTCCAACAACGTGTGTGTATTGCGTGTATTGCGCCCTCTACAGTTTATGTCAGAAAACACACTGTAGTTGAGGCCAGTTGCTGTCGATGTACGCGCTGTTATTCCCGAGACTGGGAGTTGCCCGTCTTCGTCAGATTGTCTCTGTGTGCGGGGCAGCAACTCGTATGCGACGGATATAATCAGTTGTCCAGTCCGATGTACGCTGGGCATTAATGTTCTTACTGTCCGTTCTAAATATGTTTGTTTCTCTATGATTGGCAGATTTCATTACAATTAAAGAACTGCTAAAGAAGTAGCTCTCTGCCTTTCCTGTTTGATTAAAGTAGCTCTCCCGTTGTTAAAAACATGTTGTAAGAGATTTTGTTTTCTTTGTGTCTTTCAGAAGTCAACAAGAGGCAGCTGCCAAGAAGTTCTTTTGATTTGTCCGAACCTCAACATTAAGTTATTGTACTTGCACAGAATCCGGATGTAATTATTTGAAGACTGAAATAATTTTTTATGAATTGTATGAACGCTGGTTTGACACCATTTCCCATAATGCCTTGTGCCACTCAGTATTGTTTTGTTTCAATATCACGGTGCCATTTTCACGTCTCAACAAAACCCAATAGTTTTATTTTCAAAATGGAGTCTTGACATTTGATTTTCATCGTTGTTTTGTTTTATATAAAATGCCTGGAACTTTGCCCATAAAGAGATACTTGAAAGAACTGTTTTTGTTTGTATTCATTCATTTAAGATAAACTTGGCTCACACGCACAGACACTTGCTGTGTTTCATCCATTCATATATTTTTAGAAAAGTCAAGGCGACCAAAGCGCTTCACAATAAAATCACATTCATTAAAACAATAAAACATTTGAAAAGTATTAAAGTGACACCGTGTTAAAAGTGTTAAAAGCCAGTCTGAATAAATACGTTTTGATCCTGGATTTAAAAAGGCCAAATTCAGTGAGGACATGTTGGGGGGCAGCTTGTTCCAGAGTCTGGGTCCAGGACTGAGAAGGACCGGTCTCCCAGTGTCCTTGGTTCTTCCAGGAGGAGTTGAGATGAGGACTTCAATGATCTGCCCAAGTCACGATCAGACAAAAGTACAAAGGGGGGGAGACCATTGAGGACTTTAAAAGCCCAAAAGCCCCCCCCCCCCCCTGTGCTGACGACCAGTCTCTTTGATGCTGCCCCTGACACCTCTCCCTCCCCCACTACTCTAACGACCCACCCATCAGCCCTGCCCCCAGCCTAGCAATAGCCTCTAAAGAGACTAAACAACTCTTCTTAAGGCTGCACCCCCGTAAAGCTCCTGGCCCGGACCACGTGTCTCCGGCCACTCTGAGATACTGCGCCAGTGAGCTTACTCCTGTGTTCACTGACATTTTCAACACCTCTCTGCAGTCCTGCCATGTCCCGGCCTGCTTCAAATCCTCCATCATTGTCCCCGTCCCGAAGAAGCCCAGGATCACAGGACTCAACGACTACAGACCTGTAGCACTTACGTCTGTCGTCATGAAGTCATTTGAACGCCTGGTTCTCTCCCATCTCAAGTCCTTCACCTCCCCCCTCCTGGACCCCCTGCAGTTCGCCTACAGAGCCAACAGATCTGTAGACGACGCCATTAACCTGGCCCTCCACCACATCCTACAGCACCTGGACTCCCCGGGGACCTACGCCAGGATCCTGTTCGTGGACTTCAGCTCTGCCTTCAACACAATCCTGCCATCCCTGCTCCAGGACAAGCTCTCCCAGCTCAACGTGCCCGATTCCACCTGCAGGTGGATCACTGACTTCCTGATGGACAGGAAGCAGCGAGTGCGTCTGGGGAAGAATGTCTCGGACTCTCGGATTATAAATACAGGAGCCCCACAGGGCTGTGTTCTTTCTCCCCTGCTCTTCTCCCTGTACACCAACCACTGCACCTCCAGCCACGACTCCGTGAAGCTGATCAAGTTCGCGGACGACACCACCCTCATTGGACTCATCTCCAACAACGATGAGTCCGCCTACAGGAGGGAGGTGGACCGGCTGGTGTCCTGGTGCAGTGGTAACAACCTGGAGCTGAACGCCCAGAAGACAGTGGAGATGATTGTGGACTTCAGGAAGAGCACTGTCCCCCTGCCCCCACCCTCCGTGATGGACTCCCCCATCACCTCTGTGGAGTCCTTTCGTTTCCTGGGCACCACCATCACCCAGGACCTCAAGTGGGAGCCGACCATCAGCTCCCTCATCAAGAAGGCCCAGCAGAGGATGTACTTCCTGCGGCAGCTCAGGAAAGCCAAGCTGCCTGCACAGATGTTGGTGCAGTTCTACACGGCCATCATCGAGTCCATCCTCACCTCCTCCATCACCGTGTGGTTCGCTGGAGCCACAGTCAGGGACAGAGACTACAGCGGAGTGTGCGCTCTGCAGAGGAAGTGATCGGCCGCAGCCTTCCATCGCTGCAGGACCTGTACGTCGCCCGAGCTCGAGGCCGGGCTGGTCGTATCACAGCCGACCCCTCTCAGCCTGCACATGGACTATTCCAACCACTCCCCTCCATCAGGACTAGAACCTCCCGCCACAAGAACAGTTTCTTCCCCTCTGCTGTTGGACTCTTGAACACTTCTTAACCTGTCCCCCCGCCCTTTATAAAGTCACTTTACTGCCCATCATACGTCACTTTACTTCACTGTACTGCTGTCACCTTACATTGTGTGCACCATGTGCACTTGTATATTGTCAATAGTAACTGTAACTCTATTTTAAATTTAAATTTATTCTTTAGAAGTGTTTTTTATTCTTATTTTTATTATCTCTTTCTGACTGTTGCACTGAGCCAAAGCAATTTCCAAGTCTGTGACCTCCTGTTACTTACGTGGCAAAAAAAATGATTCTGATTCTGATTCTGAAAAACAAAGGGGAAACTAAACGGGAAGCCAGAGAAGGGAATAAAGTACAGGGGGGATGTGTTCACCTGTTTGTGTGTTTGTTAAGAAGCAGCTGCAGCTTTTTGCACCAACTGAAGACAATTAAAACAAGACTGGGGAATAAAGGGCATTACAGTCAGCAATCAACTTTTATTTGTAGAGCGCCTTTCCTACACAAGGCAACACAAAGCACCTTTCTACACAAGGCAACACAAAGCGCATCACATCAGGCATAAATCATAAACCATAAAATCTACATATACATTAACGTTACTAAAAACATTAAAATCACACATGGGATTAAAATCATAAATAGCCACAGTGCACCTAAGAGTATAAATAAGATTAAATCCTTCAATTGTTGCAGCTAAACAACTGTTTTTGAGCTAGACTTTAAAACTGCCAGAGAAGACGCCTGTCTCACATTCTCAGGAAGACTGTTCCAAATCCTAGCTGCACTAATCTGAAATGCAGCCTCCCCATAGGTGCTGTTTAAGGGTCCTTACAGACTGTGAAGCCAGGTCCTTTTATTGTGTTGGAGCTTCCCTAAAGAACCGCCCCCTCACCTGCCCACCTCCACTAACACGTGCACGAGCCCAGTTCTCCTCGTGCACGCTCTGTTTACAAGTCACTGTCGCCCTCGCTCACTTTCCAAGAAGATTTGTACTTTTTCCACTACATCAGACATTATAGACGTAGATAACTTACTTGAAGTGATTTGAAATAGATTTCTCCAAACAGATCCAAACTTTACCTGGAGTAGAAACAACTGAAGCCTCAGAGGGAAGTCCAACCTTTCAGCGTCATCGAGTGAAAGAATCTCCCAAAAACACTTGTTTGTTTGACGAGCAATGAAAACTGGATTCCAGAGGGTCTGAGATTTACAACAGGGTTTAGCCTGACTGTATTGGTGGAGCTGAAGTTGGTTGGATGACAAGTGCCTCAATGGTGACTTTGTGATAGCAGCAGAGGGCCACATAAAATGACACAGAGGACCGCAATTGGCCCGTGGGCCTGAGTTTGGACATGCCTGATCAAGACTATTGCTCTAACTGTCAATCATTCAGGTGATAAGTGACGAGAGACCGTTGCTCGTCAAACAAACGGCGCACATTCACTACATTTGAGTTTAGTAAATCTGCAGTACTGCTCTACACGTCCCAAAACACAGGGCTGAAGTAGCGGGCTTTGATGCTAACGGTGTTAAACTCGCAGCTTTTTGTGTAAAGTTCTTTTCCAAGAATGCAGCTCTTGTCTCCGTCTGAGACCTTAAGAGACTTTATATAACAGCAGTTTGTGTTCACGGAGCTGCGCCATACCTTTATTTTATTATTAAACAGTACGTCTGCATCGGCGAACACGCTGGCAGCATTTTTTTACAGTCACGGGAGAAACTCGGGCTGGAGGCAAATGTTCACAAGCACTGACCCCCATTGTCAATCCTGGTTTAGACCTGGTTAGGGTTAGGGTTAGTCCTGGTTGAGTCCTGATTAGTCCTGGTTTAGCTCCTATTTTGGCTGTTTACGAGTATCTTCAGTCTTCTCGCTCTGACCGGCCTGTATCCCTGTGACCGCTTTGCGGCTCTCTGATTGGTTGTTCCTGCTTTTGCCACATGCATCGAGTCTGCGTACCCACCCAAACCTGCTGCGACGCACATGCAACTCCTCGCACAAACGGACGTCATCAGTGACTTTGCACTGAAACTGGTCTTGGGATGATCCTGTGTAGGGTTTAATCCCGGGAAACGGGATTCACAGGAATTATGATCAAAACTATTTCCCGATTCCGGGGTAATGTTATGACGAGAAACGGGAAATTAAAGTTTAAAAAAATTCCAGTCCGCTCCTTTTGGAGTGCGCGTCTATTGTTGTCTTATTGGCTCCCCGTGTGTTTCAGGATCGATTTTAAGGTTCTTTTAATGGTTTTTAAATGTCTTAATGGTCTTGGGCCTTCTTATCTTTCAGCACTGCTTTTATCCTATGAACCTTCCCGGCCCCTGCGCTCCTCCGGCAGCAGACTCCTAACCATCCCCAAAGTCAGGACACACACTCACGGCCCCCGTCTCTGGAACAGTCTGAGGAGGAGCTCGGCCGCAGAGAACATTCATATTTTTAAAAGTAGGCTCAAGACACACTTTTTTAGATTAGCTTTTGATTAGTTTTTATTATTCCATTCTATTTATCTTGTATTATTTATTATTTGTTATATTGCTATTGCTATTATTCATGTATTGTGTGTTCCTTTTAGTCTCACATTTTAGTGTTTTACTTATTGTAATGTTTTTAGTGTACCCAGTGTTTCCTCTGGAGGAGCCCTCTGCACTGGGAGCATTGGTCGGTGTGGCTGCGGGGGTCGGACTTATGGACCTGGTGGGGGCCTGGGGCCTCGGTTTCATGTCTCCTCTGGGTCCTGTGTCGTCCCCTGTGTCGTCCCCTGTGTCGTCCCCTGTGTCGTCCCCTGTGGCTACGGGCGGCTCTCTGCTCCTGGTGCAGACGGCTCCTTGGATGATGCTTTTTTAGCTGGTTGCATCTGAACCCTGCCAAGTCTCTCATCATGGTTTTATTGTTTTACTGGTGTGTGTGTGTGTGTGTGTGTGTGTGTGTGTGTGTGTGTGTGTGTGTGTGTGTGTGTGTGTGTGTGTGTGTGTGTGTGTGTGTGTGTGTGTGTGTGTGTGTGTGTGTGTGTGTGTGTGTGTGTGTGTGTGTGTGTGTGCATGGGAGCGTGTGTGTGTTTGTGTGTGTGGTTTGGGGTGGGTCTGTTGGGTGGTCTGGGGGAGGGGTCTTGGGTCGGCGGGATTGTTTTTAACCAAACTGTAAAGCACTTTGTGTTGCATCTTTTTTTTTTTTAAACTTCTTTTTATTCAGTTTTCAGCAAAAATGTACATTTTCCAAGTGTTTCAAAAAAGTTGGTCTTTTTTTTTTTTAAAACAACAAAACAGTGTTCCCCCCACAAGAAAATGAAAATAAATGACAAATAAAGTTACAGACAAATAAAAAAGTAAATAAACACATAAAACAAAAATACAATGAATATATATACACAGTACTTTAAAAGTTGAAATACAGTGTAAGAGGAGTATAAATTGTTATCATCCTGCTACATACAGAGCTACATGAGCGAGCTTCCATTTGACACCAATCTATCTCAGGAAAGTTGTACCACATGTAAATTTTTTGAATATTGGCAGCCCAATAGTATATCAAAAAATTTGGGAGCCCAAGACCTCCGTCACCTTTACTTCTTTGTAGGTTAGAGTATTTTGCCCTTGGGGTTTTACCCGACCAAATAAAAGTTGAAACGTTTCTATCTAATTCTTTAAAAAAAGATTTTGGCAGAAAGATTGGCAAGCATTGGAAAAGGAATAAAATTCTAGGAACCACATTCATTTTTATAGTGTTAATTCTACCCAATAGGGACAGTGGGAGAGCGTTCCAACGTTTAAGATCTGATTTTACCTCTTTGATTATTTTCATTATGTTATTTTTATAAAGTGAGTTGAGGTCATGTGAGATGTTAATGCCTAAGTAGCGAAAACTAGTATGGGCTATTTGAAAGGGCAATGTTTGGCTTGAAATATTCTTTGCTGCATTATTCACAGAAAAACATTCACTTTTATTCAAGTTCAGTTTATAGCCTGAAAATGAGCCAAATATTTGAAGAATTTCAAGAATATGGTTAATGTTGGTAGTGGGATTAGACAAATAGAGCAGAAGGTCGTCAGCGTAAAGTGAAACTCTGTGTTCAATTCCATTTCGGCAGATACCAGAGATGAATGGAGAGCTCTTAATGGCCATCGACAGGGGTTCAATCGCTAGGGCGAATAACAAAGGTGACAAAGGGCACCCCTGTCGACAGCCACGTGTTAAAGGGAAGTATTCGGACCGGGTGGAGTTGGTAGTCACACTGGCAGTAGGTGCGTTATATGATAATTGTATCCATGATATATATTTTGCACCAAACCCAAATCTGCTTAAAACAGAAAATAAATAACCCCACTCCACCCGGTCAAAAGCTTTTTCTGCATCCATCGATATTACCAACTCAGCCTCCCCAACATTGGATTCTGAAAGGATAATATTGAGCAACCGACGAATGTTTGTAGATAGCTGACGACCTCTTATGAAGCCAGTTTGGTCACTGGAAATTATATTTGGTAGGCAGGGGTCCAGACGGCTGGCCAGGGTCTTAGCAAGTAGCTTAACATCAGCATTGAGGATGGGTCTCCAGCTACTACACTCCTCCAAGTTTTTATTTGGTTTTGGAATAAGTGATATTGAGGCTTGCGTTAAAGTTGGAGGGAGGTTCCCACGTTCCAGTGATTCGTTAAACATTTCAAGTAGCAGAGGAGCAAGTTGGTCAGAAAACTTCTTCAAAAAGTCTGCTGGGAAGCCGTCCGGGCCCGCCGCGCGGCCATTTTGCATTCGCTTAAGGTTGGCTATAATTTCATCCAAAGAAAGAGGAGAATCAAGATTCTCTTTAGTTGTATTGGGAATTTGAGGGAAATTAAGATCATCCAAAAAGGCGTTCATTTGAGTTTTGTCCAACTGAGCCTCAGATTTATAAAGGTTAGAATAAAATTGACAAAAAGTCTTATTTATCTCTAATGGGTCAGTGATTTTTGTATGTGGGTCTTTACAGATCTGTGAAATAAATCGAGATGAGTCTTGTCGTTTGATTGTCAATGCTAACAGTCGACCCGCTCTGTCACCATGTTCATAATATGTGTATCTTGTACGTCTTAGAAGTGACTCTGCTTTGCTGGTGGTAATCATGTCAAATTCAGTTTGGAGCTTTAGTCTCTCTGTACGGAGTGATGCGTTGGAAGAATGTTGGTTATCAATGAGACGAATTGCTTCCAGTAATTCCTCTTGCTTTTGCTTTTCCTGTTTGTTCACTCTGGCACAATAGGAAATAATCTCCCCACGTAATACTGCTTTAAGAGTTTCCCACAAAAGGGATGCAGAAGTGGATTCAGTTTTATTAGTTTGAATAAAAAGAGATATTTTCTCAGATATAAATTTACAAAATGCATCCGAAGATAACAATCCTGCGTTAAATCGCCAAGTCGGCCTATTTGCACTTTTGGGAATAAGCTGAACGTCTAACAAAAGAGGAGCATGGTCTGAGATGACTATAGCAGAATATTCACATGATTTCACCGCAGGTAGCAACATTTTGTCTAAAAAGAAGTAGTCAATCCTAGAATGGCTCTGATGTACGTGTGAGAAAAATGAAAATTCTTTCCTTGTTGGATGATTATGGCGCCATACGTCTATACAACCTATCTGATTCATTACATCAATCAGGGCCCTTGCCATCTTCGACGGAGCTGTGTTTTTAGGGTTGGATTTATCCATATTGGGCTGGGCCACCAGGTTCAAATCCCCTCCAAAGATCAGGTGGTGTGTGTTTAAGCAAGGGATTAGCGACAGTAGGTTTGTAACAAAGCTAGGACAGTCCCAGTTGGGGGCATAAACACATGTCAAAATAACTGGAGTTTGGAGCAATTTGCCAACAACAATAATATAACGTCCATTTGGGTCCGGTAGAATCTGATCAGGCGAAAACCGTATTTTTTTGTGTATTAATATTGCAGTGCCTCTAGATCGGCTATTAAAACTTGAATGAAACACCTGTCCAACCCAGGGCTTCCGCAGCCTGGTGTGATCACAGACACGCATATGGGTCTCTTGAAGAAAAACTATTTCTGATTTGAGTTGCTTAAGATGTGAAAAGACTCTCGCTCTCTTGACGGGTCCACCAAGTCCTTTTACATTCCAGGACGTAAATCTAATAGAGTCTAGTTCTTCCATTAGGTCAAAAATGTTTGTTTCCAGATGTTATAGTTTGGTAACATGAAATAAACAAAATAGCTTGTGCCATATCGAGTGGAAATGCAATAGCATGAGCACTGCAATAGAGTATATTCATTGAGAAAAAAATAAATAAAAAAAAAAGAGGAAAAAGACACATAAAATGACAACCCCCCCACACATGTTAACTGTGACTGACGCTCTAACTTGCATCAGAAACAACAAACTGTCCTAAACTCACCTAAGAAAACAAAAAAGATGAGCTAGCAGGAAAGAATACAAAACTCCGGTAATCTTTGAAAGCTTCCCTTAATAACTAATACATATTACACACAAACAAATGTGGCCACTTTTTTTTTTTTTTTTTTTTTTTGGTAATAACAGAGTAAATGTTCATTTGAAACTGTTGAAATTGTTCATAATGTTCTTCAAATAATTGTTGTTAAACTTTACCTTGACTGAATTTGGACGTTTGGCCCTCCATACAATCACTTGCTCCTCGAGTAGAACCGCTCTGCCTCCTCCGCTGAGTCAAACAAGTGCGTCTGTCCGTTCAAGGTGATTCTCAAGCGGGCTGGATAGATGACGCCAAAGCGTATTCCATCTTTGTAGAGCTGGCTCTTGATCTTGTTGAAACTGGCTTCTTTGCGATGGTGTTGCTGAAATCTTCAAAGATCCGGATAGGCTGCCCCAGATATGATACATCGCGGTTCTTCTTGGCCCATTGCAAGACTTTTTCTCTGTGGATGTACCTGTGGAACCTAACGATGAGGGGTCGGGATCCTTGGAGTGGCTTTGGGGCCAGACTGCGATGAGCGCGGTCGAGTTCGAGGTCCAGGTCTTGAAGAGCATCTCCGCTGACTTTTTTAAGCATTGTGGTGACGAAGAGACGAGTGTCAGCGCCCTCCGCCCCCTCCGGGACGCCGACAATGCGGAGATTATTTCTTTTGGAGCGAGAAATCAGGTCTTCCACGGTCAATTGGAGCTTCTCGTTCACCTGTTTGACTGTCATTAGTTCAGACTGAAGCGTGGTCACCTGCTCCTCCAGGGCGGTGATCCCATCTGAATGAGAGGAGAGAGCTGTCTCCATGGCGTCAATGGTGGCGGTGTGTGAAGTTGACAGTCTCAGTCAGAGTTTGGATCGAGGCTTGAAGAGGAGCCAAAGCGCTGTTTATGGACCCGGTGAGCTCACTTGTCACACTTTTATGAAGCTTCTCCAACTCTCCGACTAGCATGCTCAGTGTTAGCGGCTCCTGGCTAGCTTCCTTGTCTTGTTGGCTAAAGTGCTGTGTTAGCGGAGGCTGGTTTTTACCTCGGCCGCTGCTCGTTTTACTCATTTTGGTGCTCAGAGGTGTAATAGTACTTCTCGTGGCTTAGCAAGTACAAATCTTGATAAAGTTCGGCGTGTATTAATAAGAACTGAGCTGCAGTATCAGGGAGCTTTTCACGTGCGTCTGATCACACCGACGCTTAGTCGACAAGACGTGCTTCCGAGTTTTTGAGTAATTGAAGACATACAATTCTTTTTGGGAAGACCAGAGAGCAGGTCATTACAAGAGTCAATGCGACTGGTGATAAAAGCATGCATCAGCGCCTCCGTTTGCCACCGAGAGAGAATGGGCCGGACTCGGCGAATGTTGTCTTTAGATGATAAAAACCTATTTTGTGATACTCTTGATGTGAGGAATAAAAGTCCAGCTCAGAGTCAAAGATTACGCCCCAACTTTTCACTTGGTGATGAAGGATTAAAAGAGTGTGATTGGAGTTTTTGATAAAAGTTTTCTCTCTCATGGGCCTCAGGACCGATGACTAAAACCTCAGTTTTTGTCCTGGTTAAGCAGAGAAAGTTTTTCTGCCATCCTGGATTTCAGGTCTAAAATGCATTAAAAAACATCCATTGCCTGGTGTCATCAGGATACATGGAGATGTACAATGAGTATCATCTCAAACTGTGGAAAGTAATTTCCATGTCTCCTACTACAACAACCGCCAAAGGAGCATGTACAACTGTTTCAGAGCTACTTAGAACCTGCAGCCGTTTTTCAGCGCATTCAAAAGTAAACATTGATGGTGTGTGATTTTGTAATATTTCCTATGGCACACCAAACAACATCTCAGGGCACTCCAACGTACCACGGCACACTGGTTGAAAAACACTAAGAATACACTTGTTTACACTGGTTGTTGATGTCCGCAGGCTCCCTCTGTCATGTGGAAGTGCAGTCGTCTCGGGTCACAGCCCTGTGTTGGGAACAGTCTCTGAGCCTGTGGAGCGTGGACCAGCCCAGCTGCGACAGCCGGCCCTCCGCCAATCTCCTCGTCGGCCGACTTGACGGTTCTCTCTGCTGGATGCAGGTCACGATGCAGGAAAAAGATGTGTCTGTGAAAAGCACCGAACTTACCCACTGCTACCGGAAAGAAGGTACGAGGAGAACACATGTCAGAGTACGAGAGAAGACCAGTGGAAGTCCTGACCTTGTTGTTCACGCTTTCCCTTGTCAGCCCCCCAGTGTTTGGCCTGGCACAGCGAGGACAGACCCTTTGCTGCAGGATATCCTGACGGGAAGATTCTTCTGAGCTCCATCGACAGTGATGAAGACGAGCAGCCCGACATACTGACTGTCTACTCGGTTTGTTGACTTTTGTTTTCTTAGGTCCTGACCCTAACTTCCCATCTACATCTTACAGGCGAAAAGTGTGTGGTGTTTGAAAGATGTAAGCTGGACAGAGGAGCAAAGCAAGGAATCAATGAACACCAGACTGGATACTTAGTGAAAGGAAGTCTGAAGGAGTTTATATAGTGTCTGTTTGTGTCTCTCTGAATAGAACTGTCTCTTTTTAGGAATAGGAACCAAAAGGGACCCCAGTTTTACTGATTGACCTGATTCATTCTGATTTAATCTGTTCACTAAACAAGTCATTAGTTTGTTAATTTGTCTGTCAGTAATGAAGTTGGATTGAAACATGTAAACAAACATAAGTATACAAGAATAAGTTCAATAGTCAGACAATTCTGTAGTCTCCAGTGGTCAGAAGGCCCAGCTTTTCTTTCCTTTCTTGGCCAAAGTGTACACCACACCTCACAAATGCATGCTTTCAAAAGTGATTGATGAAGGTGTATCGTTACCAACACAACTTTCATAAACTGATCTAGTTGTTTCCTCACAGCTCAATGCTAACCCATTTCCTGTTCTTGTTCAGGAGAGTTTGTCGTCTCTGAAGTGGGACCCCAGCGGACAGTTGCTGCTGTGCGTGGGGCGCTCCGAGCTGGTCCGGATCGTGGGCCGCTCCGGTGGGTCGTGGGTCACTCTGCACTCGCTGATGCACACAGGGATCGTCAACGTCACAGAGTGGTGTCCGCTGCGGGGACGAGGCCCGGACCCCAGACTCATGATGGCTGTGTGAGTGCAACTACTGCTGCTGCTGCTGCTGCTGCAACTACTGCTACTACTACTGCTACTGCTACACAACTGCTGCTACTACTGCTACTGCTACTGCTGCTGCTGCTGCTGCTGCTGCTGCTGCTACTACTGCTACTGCTACACAACTGCTGCTGCTACTGCTACTGCTACTGCTGCTGCTGCTGCTGCTGCTGCTACTACTACTGCTACTGCTACACAACTGCTGCTACTACTGCTACTACTACTACTACTGCTACTGCTGCTGCTACTGCTACTGCTACACAACTGCTGCTACTACTGCTACTGCTACTGCTGCTGCTGCTGCTGCTGCTACTACTACTGCTACACAACTGCTGCTACTACTGCTACTGCTGCTGCTGCTGCTGCTGCTACTACTACTGCTACACAACTGCTGCTACTACTGCTACTACTACTACTACTGCTACTGCTGCTGCTACTGCTACACAACTGCTGCTACTACTGCTACTGCTACTGCTGCTGCTGCTACTACTACTACTGCTACTGCTGCTGCTACTGCTACTGCTACACAACTGCTGCTACTACTGCTACTGCTGCTGCTGCTGCTGCTGCTGCTGCTACTGCTACTACTACTGCTACACAACTGCTGCTACTACTACTACTGCTACTGCTGCTACTGCTACACAACTGCTGCTACTACTACTGCTACTACTGCTACTGCTGCTGCTGCTGCTGCTGCTACTACTACTGCTACACAACTGCTGCTACTACTGCTACTACTACTACTACTGCTACTGCTGCTGCTGCTACTGCTACACAACTGCTGCTACTACTGCTACTGCTACTGCTGCTGCTGCTACTACTACTACTGCTGCTGCTACTGCTACTGCTACACAACTGCTGCTACTACTGCTACTGCTGCTGCTGCTGCTGCTGCTGCTACTGCTACTGCTACTACTACTGCTACACAACTGCTGCTACTACTACTACTGCTACTGCTGCTACTGCTACACAACTGCTGCTACTACTACTGCTGCTGCTGCTACTGCTGCTACTACTACTACTACTGCTGCTGCTGCTAGCACAACTGCTGCTACTACTGCTGCTGCTGCTACTGCTGCTACTACTACTACTACTGCTGCTACTGCTACACAACTGCTACTGCTACTGCTGCTGCTGCTACTGCTACTGCTGCTGCTACTGCTACTGCTACTGCTGCTGCTGCTGCTACTGCTACTGCTTAGGGTTGCCAACTTGAGAAAAAAAAAATAAGGGACACCATTTGGGTGGATCGGGTTGAGCACTTTTTAGTCCTAATTTCAGTCTACATAGTAATCATGGAATTTCATAATCACAGTTTTTAGATTGTAATTTATTGACTACATATAAAAAAACAAATCCTTAGTCAAAAATGAAATTGAATAAATAGGTGGAACTCTTTGGCTGGTTAAGGACTTAATTCATTCTTATTAGTAATAAAAAAATATAAAAAAGAAAAATACTGTAACATACATTATTTATGAATGTTACAGTAAAGACCAATTTCTGTAAAAGCAAATAAAAAGAAAAACATATGTATTAATTAAAAAAACTCACAAATCAAAGTCTGTAGCAGTTCGACATGGTCATCATTATTTATATTGTCTGAGTTTTGTGCAGGTACTGCAGGTTTGTGGCTTCAGTAAAAGCTATTGTGCATTGGATTCAGAGGATTTCTCTGCATTAAAACAGCGCATTGAATTTGTAAAATCAACGTAGAGATGATCATTTTAGCACAATTACTTTTGTTTAACGAAGTAGCTTTCGTGAGCTATTGACCGCGGAAGTCCGAATCTGGGAAAATTACGCTACTTTACCAAACTTCTGCCGTGATGATGCTGCGGGCACGGCCCACGCTAGCGCCTGTCAACATTAAACCAACGTCTGTGATCAAGCCTACGCCCCTTTGACACTGATTGGCCGAAAGGTAGATGCTTAAACTGTGATCATTACTGTGTGTGTGACATGCAGGCCCAGTCCCAATACCCACACTGCACCCTACGCCCTCCTATGAAGTGTGCATTTGTTTGAAGTGCGCGCAAGGGTTTGAGTGCACAGGTTGCAAGTGTGCACAATGGGCGGAATTGGGACAGTGCACA